GTAAAAAATTGAAAGTATAGGAAAACCCATGTAAAAGCACGGGGACTTCAGAAGGGCCCGCCGACTTGTTCCGCAGACTAGCGCGAAAATCCGGGTAGACCACCCGCTGAGTACTTGCTAGACCTTTTTTTATGACCGAACCCGTGGATTATATGAATGGACTGGGTCCATCGAACGGCTTTCATATGCATACAAATAGGACCGATCCCTAAACGGTCGAGGAAAGCCACTCTAATCCTTTTTATGTATCGTCGAGCTTGTGTTGGATTAGGAATGTGACATTTCCCGTGGGAAGATCGAACATGAAAATTGTCTAATAATAATCCAGGAGATTGCTTCCTTATGGCTTGTATTCTCAAGTCCAATTCGCAGTGTCTGGCCGGTAATAGAGTATGAGAGAATTATGTCATTTCTCGGTGTAAGCGGTTTCAGTGATGGTCGGACATACTCTAGGGTTTACAGAGCTGCGTTTTACGTAATCATGAGAAGTGGTCTATCGGAGAGGGCGAGAATACGAATTAATGGTAATGCGTGCATGCATTGTATGCGAGCTCCGGGTCCTCATTAAGGATTTTCATTACGTGTACGTCGGCTCGTGTCAGAGAGAGAGAAAGAGATTGGTTGTCGAACGCTTGTTGCATTGCCTGGCTGTGCGTGACCATTTTGCCAATGGACGCGTTTTTCTTCGCCAGATTGGGAGAATGGGAGTCATTGTCCTGAACTGACCAACATTCTTCTTGGAAATAAAACTGAATAAAAAAAGCTATATAATAGCCTTGGTTTCATCCTCTCATGGGTTTTATGATTCTCGTTGTACTTCATCCTGCTAGCACATGAATTTCATATATGATTATGTGCATTGAATGAATGATCAGTCAGTCTTATTTTAACCAATCAGAATTCATCTTATTTCTGAATTTTCAATTATCTCTCAATAATGGTCACTAATTGTCTTCAAGTTGTCTCAAGTTTCAATACGACACCTAGTGTCCATTTTTTATTATTGTAATTCATACTACATGCTTTATTAAGTTAGAGGTCGAAAACGGTACTTGAAGACGGCCAATGAAAAGGAATTAGGTTCTCCTCCTTTCACACCTGGGAAGTACGTACTATCATCGAAGAGTCAGAGAATGTACAGTCAGCACGCATAGATTAATAAATCTTCCTCCGTCGAAGAGTACACCACGTGGAGGTACACGTGACTTAGCGACGCGTCCCTATAGCAATTTGCGATAGCGGAGTTGGTCAACAGATTCCGTGGCACGTTCTCCACCACGAGGTCCTCGTAATGAGAGGGCAGTCTGCCCTCGAGACTTTGGCTCCGCCATTTTAATTCCGCTCTTGCGACAAGCCAAATTACCGTCTGAGAAATTGAATAGGATTGATTGTATAGAAATTTATGAATCCATTTTTATCCAAATTGTCAATTAAACTGAATACATTGTATTATTTGAGATATTTTTTATTTTAAGTATTCATTTATTTATTTATTTACTTT